CTCTCTCTCTCTCTCTCTCTCTCTCTCTCTCTCTCTCTCTCTCTCTCTCTCTCTCTCTCTCTCTCTCTCTTGTTTATTTCTTTGTTTTTTTTCTTCTTCTTTTTTTTGCATACATGTGAAGTGTGAAAGATAGCGAGTCTGATTGCATTTTTAGGGATAAGTTGCAAAGTACCCCCACAAGTTGAGATATATGCCAAAATGTCCCTAAAAGAAGTGGGTAGAGCAGAATGCCCCTCTGATAAAAAAAAGTATTTTGTGAAATACCCCTGGCATCGGTTTGACCCCCATCTTTGCAATATACCCCTACGGGCAACTTCGCAAAATGCCCCAATACTTGCCAACTTCTCCTAGGCGCTATTGCAAGAAGCCAAGGCCCAAACGGGGAGGTCCGGATTGCGAAGTTGCACACCCCTAACAGGGGCACAACACAAAGATTTCGGGCCAAAAGGGCATGCCTCTCTACCCACATCTTTCAGGGGCAGTTTGGCATATATCTCAACTTATGAGGGTATGTTGCAAATTATCTCTTTTTTTTAATAAAGAATCTCATTCGTTTTTTTTTTCCATTTTTTCCTTTTTTTTTGTGTTCTTATTAAGGAAGAACTCCCGCTACTGGTAGCTGGCAACCCTCGGCTTACCGGTAGCCGGAGGCTCGGCATCAATGGCTGAGAAAGGTACTGGTGGTTTAAACCACACATGCTAGAAAGTCTTGTGGGTGGAGAGAACGGGCAAACGGCGCTTGCGACTTCTGCATGCTCCCCGCATGTGTAGGACGCTGCTAGAAAGGCAGCCGGATCCGGCCGAAAGAAAGTCCCGCTACTGGTAACTGGCAAGGCTCGGCTTACTGGTAGCGGGATGCTCGGCATCAATGGCTGAGAAAGGTACTGGTGGTTTAAACCACACATGCTAGAAAGTCTTGTGGGTGGAGAGAACGGTCAAACGGCGCGTGCGACTTCTGCATGCTCCCGGCATGTGTATGACGCTGCTAGAAAGGCAGCCGGATCCGGCGGAATAGGGACTGCTGTGGCGCCATTCCATGCGAACCCAGTTTCCTGAGTTACCTCGGCGGCCTTTGACGTCGGCCTTCCCTCGTAAAATGTTGGTGTGGTTCACCAAAAGTAGCATATGTGCTCGTGTCGAACCTTGTGGGCTGCTCCTGAGAGGCTGAACTTTGCCCAAGGTGGCTGCTGCTAAGTCCCAGCCGGCATGGCTGCTTGCGCCTTGCCCTTTTTGCAGGATATTCGATTGTCGTGTGGTTGGACTGCTGCCACAGCGTCTCCTGCACTTGACTATGGAATGACATCGTGGTCTGCAATACACTTGACCCGCATCAAAATGCTTCTGCCATAAGACAACCTTGGTCTTCTCCACATATGAGGACTGCTGCCTATCATTTGTGGCAGGCTTATTGTGTTTGATGATCTCCCGAGCTTCGGTCATGAGAGCATCGAAGTCATTGAAGAGATTTTTCTTGTTGGGGCTTGAATTAACGTGCTGCACAAGCGTGGGAAGAACTTCCGCTTGATGTGCTACCACTCCGTCAGCCAACCCCGGCTGAGCTGGTTGCCCTGACACATAGAGAGTAACTTCTTTATGGCTTTGCCGGGGCCGTCTTCAACAATTAACCGCTTCTTGTACTCCTTCTCCATACCAGGTCACTTCACATTCTCGTGCAAGTGTGTCACAGTGCAGTCTTGTGGCACCAAGTGGATGGAGAGCTGCTGCCACCATTGCACCGGATCTGTTTTCTGATAGTTATCGAAGAGTGGGATGTTCATTTTCGGCATCTTAAAGGCGCCATTGCTGCTGATGCACTTGGTTGCTGTTCAGTTCGTGAACATCCGTATGGAGAGTGGAGATCTGTCAGCAGATGGACGGCGCAGCACATTGGCTGAGGTCGCCAATGATGGCGGCCAAGAGGTCGATCCAGAACCCCGACACAGCGTTAGACGTCGGATTAGACGAGCTTGCGGCAGGTTGAGTTGCCACGAGTGATGCCGACGCTGTATTCCAGATGGCTGAGTCACGCATTGAGTGCATCAAGCTTGGCGAAGTGGTCGCTGCAGGTCCTCTCTGAAACAGGCATCTCTGCCTGCTGCTCCATGCATGTGTGCATCAAACGTGCAAGGAGCTTGCTGAGGAACTCCTGGTGATCGTCCTCCATAGGTTCAGGCTGTTGTGAGGAGAGGTTGAAATGCCAGGCCTTGAGGCGCCCTGCAGTAGGAGGTCGTGTGCTTCCTCGCATCGTGCGATAGCCTCCTCGTTAGCTTCTGGCCCGTCCGCCACGGTTCTGCTGCGGCTTCTGCCTCAACTCTCTGCCTGACTTCCTCCTCAGTACGCTGCCTTTTTTTCTCTGCCTAATCTAGGCCTCTCTCTCTCTCTCTCTCTCCCCAGGATCCCTTTACATGTCCTTCCGTCTTCGCTCGCTTGCTTGCGCGCCCTGTTTCTCGCTGTGTACGTACGTTTCTCTCTCTCTCTCTCTCTCTCCTGTCTCTTATACACATCTAGATGTGTATAAGAGACCGCTCTCTCTCTCTGTGTGTGTGTGTGTGTGTGTGTGTGTGTGTGTGTGTGTGTGTGTGTCTGTGCCAACGTCCTACCTGCGGATTGGAACATGTGGAGGCCAAGATGTGAGAGATCTGTTCGAACCCATGGACGAACGGGTTTTGACCCACAGATGTTGAGATCTATCATAGCAGGAACGCGGCAAGAGCTAAAATTGGCATGAGATATACCAGGATGAGCAGATGAAAAATGAGCAGATGCTATTCGTCGAAATATTGGGGGTCGTGAACGGAAGCATTCAGACCTTAGAGAGACGAAGCAAGACCGAGCAATGGCTACGCGCATAGCAAGCTCAGTATACTCTCTTTCTCTCCTGTGTTTTCTTTTTTCCCTCTCTTACCTTTTCTCTTTTTTTCTTTTTTGAAACTCAGGACGTCGTGAGCAGCCTGCAACAGACGGAGGGGGAATGGGGGGGCAGCCCCTGGTTATCGATCTGTTCAAATAATACCTGAGACTCCTTTTATTTATCGGTGGGAAGCTGGTGTGACTGCTAGCCACTCAGGACATCCTTCTATAGACGGTAGATTAAGACAACACCGGAGTGCTGTCCAAGCCCGGTATTTGGTCAAAAACGCTGGAAGCAATTGGCTGTAGACGGTAGGTTAGGGCTGCTCTATAGTGGCACCAGGAGTGAGTACCTGCCTTCATCTCTCGCTCATCGTTAGCCAACATGACGTAGAAGAAGTCAGCTTCTTCAAACGAGCAATTGGCAGCGTGCAGCCGACGGACCGGACCAGAGATGCGCCATAGCTTAGTGATGGAGATAGCCCGAGAACATAACGACGCAGAGGGAAGACAAAAGCGAGGATCCCACAGCGCAGATGCAAGAAGAGCAAGGGCTGCGATGTGGGGGGAGGGGACGGAAGAGTCAGATAGACAGACAGACAGACAGACAGGCTGAGGCCGAGACAGAGAGAGAGAGAGCGAGACGAAGAGATAGAGACAGACAGAGACAAAGCACAAGAGACACAGAGAGAGAGAGAGAGAGAGAGAGAGAGAGAGAGAGAGAGAGAGAGAGAGAGAGGGGGGATAAAAGGACGGAGGACATCCAGCTAGCCAGAGATCAAATATTCCAATTAGATAGATCGAAAAAAGACAGGCAGAGAGGGACGCTAGGAGAGAATCGCAGGCTGGGAAAAAAAGGGAGAGAGCAACCAGAAAGAAGGGAAAGAGGACAAGGAGGAGGGAGATTAGAGCGGCATATGGATGGGCCACATCCCAGGCAAAGGAACTAGAACAGAGAACGAGGGACCGAAGGAAACGGGCGCAGACACTGTGACGAGAAAAAGTTGAGGACCAGTGAAATGGAGGGAAGGGAAGAACAAGAACGAGTTAGCATGAGGACAAGAACAGAGAAACGAAGAAAAGTCGATGGAGCGTAGTGAACAGAAGAGGATCTGCAGTGTCCCCTGCAGTCGCAGGGTGAGAGAGAGGAAAATGGAAGCGAAGACAAACAGAAAACAGGAGATGCATGCATGCAGAAGCAAGGACGGACGGGAACCGCAGAGATGGATTGCAAAATGGATAACGGGAAGAGATATAGAGGTGGGGGAGAGGGAATAGGTAACATAGTGAATGGCGGGGTCAGGGAGGAGGGAGGAGGAGCACGGGGAAGGAGGAAGGAGGCAGACATGAGGAAGGAGGGGGGAGCAAGAGCAGGCGACAACACATGAGGGACGAAGCGCGGCAATGACATACCCGCTTGTAGGGCCAACCCATAATTACATTGACCAACGGCGTCTCCTGACTCTGCCGCGCGCCGATACCAGCCTACTGCCTCCTCCTTCCTATCTCTTTCCCATAACATCAGTCCTGCGTCCACCATAGCCGCAGCTGATCCTCTCGCTGCACCTTTCAAGAAACAATCCAACGCTTTTTCCTGATTCTTCTTCACACCACCCCTGCCATGTCGGAACCTCTTTCCCCATTTGTGAAATAGCACCCCTTCACGGATAGGCGCAGCCGCGCTGCGCCATCCCCTGCACACGGCACTCGCCGCGCGGACATCTCTGTACGACAACGCGCCAAATATCTTCATCAGCACATCCTGCGGTAAGAATGCCATGTTTGATCCGCCATAACCATCGTCATCCGCTTGCCCATCAATCGCTTGTTCACCAGCTCGGACTGGCTCTTGTGATGACGTTGAAGTCTGCGCGATATTCCTTCCTCCAGCTTCACAAAACGGCGCTTTGCCATCGTCATCTTCGTGCGCAGATAGGTTTCCTTTGGCGCCGGATCTGCCACGTGGCAAAACCTCGTCGCCACACTCACATCCACTCGCCGTCAATCGGTACCGCTTGCCATGCCCGCGGCGATCAGTTCGCCCCTCTGTTTCTCCTACCTCTTCTTCCTCCTCCGACTTGCCATGGCCCTTTCGGCTACCGGAAGACGATGACTTGCCACCTGTCCTCTCCGTGCAATCATAGTCGCGCAGCTTTCTCCTTCCATCGTGGCCCTCGCCTGCACAACCGCTTCCGTCACGCCCTGATCTTCGATGGCGAGGATGGTCCTTGGCAGTTTCTCTATCGCGGTCGCCTGACCTTCGGTGACGTGGTCGATGTTCCGTCACTGCGACCCGATCGCTTTCATCCCTGGATGAGCTCTCCCCGCGACTTTCCCGCCAAACCCTGCGGCGGGCAGCGTCGCCGTCCGAGACAACCTGATAGGCACGTTCGTCCTCCAGCTCTCTCCTCCGTGACTCCGACGACGAGTAGGTGTGGACACCGTCCACGTAGCTCGGCCTGAACTTGTGACGGGTTCTGCGTGGTTGATGGCCACCTGCCACGTGGCGCATGCTGGTGGAGAAGTTTCGCCGATCGCCGCGGCGCCTGTCTGCCTCCCGGTAGCGCCTCCTCGACGATCCGAGGTCCAATCTCGTGCGACGGCCCTCCTCGGCCCTTCTCTCCTCTCCAGCTTGCCGCTCTGCTGCCGAAGCACTTCGATCTTCCCGCACCTTCCCCGCGGCTATACCCATCTACGCCTGACACAGAGTGCGACACAGTTTCCGCCTGGCTATGGTGGTCGACAACGAAACGCTGACAACGACGATAGGAACGAAGCGATCGATAGTCGATCAGTTCTCCTACAATCAGTACCGTTATACAAGGATAGTCCATCCAGAGGAACATCCGCTTCTCTTACGTATTCCGGGGCAGGAGGTGCATCTTTTCGCAAATCCCAGAAAAAACCTGCACCACCTCCGTTCCTGGCGGAGCCCAGCCCTGCGGAATTCGCAGCCCCTCAGGGTTTTCGCAGCCCGTCAGGGTTGCGTTTTCCCCCCCGAGACATTTCAACCTCAATCAAATTTCAACGTCGGTGTCGGGAGGGTGGGCATTTTGAGGTTTTGGGGCCTTGCAAGGGCCAGGACCTCGTAGGACCGGTAGCTGCACGTAGGAGGCCGAGGAGGCCGGCTGAATTCGCATCCCGTCAGGGTTTTCACAGCCCGTCAGGGTTGCGTCTTCCCCCCGTGAGACATTTCCACGTCAATCAAATTTCAACGTTGGTGGTCGTCGGGAGGGTGGGCATTTTGAGGTTTTGGGGCCTTGCAAGGGCCAGGACCGCGTAGGACCGGTAGCTGCACGTAGGAGGCCGAGGAGGCCGCAGTCCTTTTTCGAAATTGAAACAGTGCGGGTCCACTTTTCTCGAATAGCAGAGTTCCTCGAATAGAAAACGTACACGTTGTATTGTATACCGCGTGGGCGCGAGGAACGCAGCCCTAAGGTAGTCGAAGCGATTATTTTTTGGTCTTACAAGAGAGAGAGAGAGAGAGAGAGAGAGAGTATTTTACTCTTAAGTTCTTGTGCATCACACACACAACAAACTGAAAGTTCTAAATCTTTGAAGGCCATTACTTCTTGTAAGATATGTAATATTTTTCTTTTAAATTTTTCGTAATCAATGTTTTTATATGCTTCATAATTTTTATATTTTTTTAAAGTTTGTGTTCTTGTGATTATCTTTAATCTTTTTCAAGCAATTATTTTGTGGTATTACAAGAGAGAGAGAGAGGCGGAGGGAGAGAGAGTGAGAGGGAAAAAAAAAAAAAAAAAAAAAAAAAGGAGAGATTTTTTGAATTATGAATTGTAGGATTGGGTAAATTATTGAAATGGTTGTTTGGAATTTTCTGCTATTTTTATTGGGAAAAATATGAGATAATGTATAGATTTTAAATGTTCGTTGTTTTTGCGTATTGCTTAGAGCACAAAAAATTGGGATAGTTGGTTATTGCAAATTGGTTTTAAAAAGTCGCGGTTGTATGAGAGGTAGTCGCAGGTAACTTGTAATGAAAGAGAGAGAGAGAGAGTAGACAAACATACATTTATATGATAAGAGTGAATGAAGCATAAACAGTAAAGAAAGAGGTATATATCGTGAAATATAATTACGAATTACTGTCGCATTGTAGTGTGTTGTTGTCTATGTTGTTGAACTTGATTAGGTGCAGTGATGACAGGTTGATCCATTAGTAAAAGTGTGGCAATTTGTCGTTAAATCGTTAGTCTTATAATCAGAGTTTGGTTTAATAAAATATAAAATACAATTAGATAAGCGAACTCTTTCTCTTTCTCACAAAATGCAGCGTCTTTGTACTCTTGATGGCTTAAGCCTTCGTCGTTAGTCGGTTCTTCCTCAGTCACTTCCTAACAATTGTTTTTTTTATCGTACTTAGTCACTTTTCAAGAATCCAATGTCTCTCTCTCTCTCTCTCTCTCTCTCTCTCTCTCTCTCTCTCT